AATCTTTTAATTTCTCCTTTATATTCTACTTCAATTATTGGTTTATCATGTCCATCATCAACTACTTTAAATGACCAATGTTTCATATCTTTTTGAATACTTGGTTCACTAAATCTTCTTCCTATCATTCTTTTTGCATCAAATACTGTATTCTTAACATTCATTCCAATTTGATTCTTTGCTGCATCTCCAATAAGTCTTTCTGTATCAGTAAATGCAACATATGATGGTGTTGTTCTATTTCCTTGATCATTTGCTATAATTTCTACTCGATCATTTTCCCAAATACCAACACATGAATATGTTGTACCTAAATCTATTCCAATACCTATTCCTGTATATTTACTCATTTAATGACTTCTTTAGTTCTGACTTCCTTTATATATCATTCTCTTCTTTTGTATCATGTTCACGTGGTTTATTGTTTATGCAAATCTTTCATTCTATCCACTCATTGCTTTCTCATTTCCACGTGTTCTTTTGTTATTTATAACGTTATTTTCTTTAATTATTTTTTTTTCTATTTCATTAAAAATAAAATACAAATAAACATTAAAAATTAAACAATAATAATTATTCTTTGAAGTTTTCTTCAAATGAATTGATCAAAATGACAGAAAGACACATGTTATAAATATGTTTATTCTATTTGATACAAAATATTTATTATTATAAGAAAGTGTATGAATTATTAATAAAATACTTATCAATTAATTATTCAATTTTGATAATATACTTTTTTGAAGACATACAAGATAAACTATTAGATTCATGATTTATATTTCTAATAAACTAAATCTACATTTTGATTTTACTCATTAATTTCTTAACTCTTTGTTTATTTATTTCTATTTATTATTGTATCAACAATAACATTCATAAACAAATAGATTTATTCAATTATTATCATTTTATATTTATATTATCATTTATATCAAAAAGAATAAATAAGAAAAGAATAATAATAATATAAATGATAATCAATTATAATTTATTTCTACTTCAAATTATATTGTATTTCATTTATTGTATTTCTATTTCATTCATCACTATTCAAAACAATCTCTTGGTATTCTTTTATTTTGTTTTAATTCTTCTTCACATCCACATTTATAAAAACATCCACGTCTAAATAAAGTAATTGATGATGGTATATTAATTGATTTTAATAAATAACATCCATAAAAACAATCATCTCCTATTTTAATAATTGATGTTGGTATATTAATTGACCTTAATGATGAACATCTTTTAAAACAATCATTTCCTATTTCATTAATTGTTGCTGGTATATTAATTGATCTTAATGATGAACAATAACTAAAACAACAATCACCTAATTTAGTAATTGAAGATGGAATAATAAATTCATTAATATCTTTCTTGCAAATATTCTTTCCATTGATTATTTGTAGATTATCTGGTATTTCACAACTAATTAACACCGGTTCGTTCATAAAGATTCTTTCTTGACTAATAAATTGTAAATTATCTATATTCATTGATGTTAATGATGAACATCTATAAAAACAATCACATCCTATTGACGTAATTGATGATGGTATATTAATTGTTGTTAATGATTTACATTCATGAAAACAATAATTTCCTATTCCACTAATTGATGATGGTATATCAATTGATGTTAATTTATAACAATTATCTAAAACACTGATATCCAAGTAATTTAACTTCTGATGGTATTGTATTCCCATATTTATCTCTATCTTCTTCTGTATATTCTATATTTTTACAGATATTTCCTTTTTTTTTCTCTTGTAAATATGTTAAATAATCTACTTGATACCATATTACTTGTTTAAATATTCTTTAACCTTTAAATATTTTATCATATTTATTATAAATATGAAATGTTTCAATATTAGTAAATAATTTTCTTGAATAATGATTTAATGGAATTGGATTAAAATGAAATCGTTCCATATTTCCTTGAAATCTTTTAATTCCTATTTCTAAATTAATAAAATCATTAATATCATTAAAATACATTGATGCAATCATTATTTCATTATATCCTAATTTCATTATTGTTTTATTATTTATTAGTTGTTTTTATTAGTTCTTTTATTTTTATATTTTAATTTCTTCTTTTTTATTATTTTATCATCATTCTATTTTTATTAATTGATATTTGTTATGAAAAACATTAAATAATAAGAAATAAAATAAAATGATAATTATTTTTATTTTTAATAAATTATAATTATTAAATATTTCATTTTATTGTTATTTTATTCATTATTTCATTTTATATTTTATTTTTATTTAATAATATAATAATAAAATATGATAAAAGATAATAAATATAATAACAAATGAATAATCAATATATTTATAATAAATGATAATAAAATGAATGATATAATTAATGATAAATAATTATGAAATCATTTATTCTATTATCTTTCATTTTTATTCCTTCTAAATTTATTCTTTTCTTTCTTTCTTTTTATTATTATTAATTAATTCGAAGATATCACGTCAGAGACACAACACACAACACTAAAATATTATCATCATTCAAAACAACCAGTTATGGATTTGTTATAATGTTGTATTTAGTTAGAAAAACATCTTAATCAATACTACAAGAATAACAGTGTTTTTTATTTACAATGATGTGATATCATTGATAATAAACGAATGTGTATTTATAAAGATGTTATTATTACTTATTATGATACAAGTACATTTGATAATATAAGATTAATAAACAAAAAGGGCTTGGTGGTTGATAATAAAAGGAATATTAACTCATAGTAATACAGTAGTAATTATATATTCTCATTAAAATAAGAAAATAAAGAATAATTTTAATACTCATTAAATTCAAAAATAAATTAAATAATGAATATTTAAATAATTGATGTTTAAAATATTCTATTCCATATCAAATAAATGAGAAAATGAAATTATCATAATTCAACAAATAAAATCAAAGAATAAACTAATAGATAATGAAAATACAATACTTTTAAAACAAATAGATTAATTAATCTCCACTGAACAATAAACAATATAAAATAAAATTATTAACATTTAATTATCTACTTTTTATTTATTTGATTCATTATATATTTAATAAATAAATGAAATAAAATATATTTAAAATGATGAAAAGTCAATGAATAATGATAAATAATAATTATTCATTATTTACAATTCATTCATTTAAACATATTAAATAATCATTATGTAATATTTTTATTCATTATCATCAAAAATAAAATAAACACAAAACAAAATAATAAAATATAATTAACATAAAATGATGAAAATTAAATAATAAATGATGGGAACCAAAATAAGCGAAGAAATTATGAATCTAAATAAATTGCTCAATTGAAAATAGTGTAATATATTTTTTGATTATTAGATTATTCTGTTTTATATTATTTTCTCTTAAAATTATAAAAATATAAAATAAAAGAAAATAAAATGTAGGTAAAATACAAATTCTATATCAATCAGTTGACATTTTGTAATATCTTGTTGTATTGAGTATGATGTATCTTGATTTGTTGAGTATATTCATTCATATTTGTGTTCATTTTATATTATTCTTTATTTCATTTCATTTACCATCAAGTCTATTTTAATGTGAAAATATCATTATGAAATGTAATAAAGAAGAACATTA